GTTGCTCAGCCTTTCCTGCTCTTGGTAAGTTGTCTTTAAATCAAAGCTTTAATAGGAAAAGGGCACAGAGGCATTCTGTGACTCTGGAGGAGATTCGCTAGGGATTGTGTTTTGAAAACTCAAGGAACAGCTAAAGCTATTTTTGGTCATCTGCATACTATCCCTTGCTTTTTCCTGTAGGACTTATTTCAGTCATTAACAGTCGTCAACAGGTTTACCATACCCATTGAGTCAATCACCCATCTCCTACTACCTTCCTTTTTCCTACTAGTTCCTGAGAAATGTCATCCCTTATTTCTTCTTTGGTAATCACTCATAGCCGCGTAAGATTGTCTTCCATAAACATGGTTTTAACAATGAGTCCCTAAGTGACTGTGGAGGCCAATTCTGGATCCACACGTCCTTACACAGTGGGGACATTGGTTTCTGGGCAGGATTTGATCACGGTGTGGATTTGCCAAGGGGGTCTTTCTCATAGCACATTTCTCCCTTGAGTCCTGAGTATGAGTGTCTTCAGAGCCCATGACACCTTTGGTAAAGGCTGTTCTCCAACTGGAGCACTCACAGGCCAGTTGTCAGTGTTTATACTACATTTTTTTAAATTTGCCTTTAGACAGTCTTTAAACTTCTTTTGTTGACCACCAGCATTACACTTTCCATTTTTATGTTCGGAATAGAGTAGTTGCTTTGGAAGACGATCATCAGGCATCCACATAACATGACCAGTCCAAAGAAGTTGCTGTTGAAGAATCATTGCTTCTTCTTCTTCTTCTTCTTCTTCTTCTTTTTTAAAAAAATAATATTTATTATTTTTCCAAAAACTTAAACACTAAAAAGACAATACAATACAATACAATACATTAAACTAACAAAACAAAACAAAAACAAAAAGATAAATCAAACAATTTCATTATCCCATCTTTCATTCACTTATTTCCATGACCTCCTCACACCTCCCTTTTCGCATTCCACTTCTGTTAATTATTTCAGCAATTCCTTTCCAGCTTCCTCTGCTTTCTATCCTATAATTATCTTAACTCATTCTAACCTTATTTTTTCCTTTAATGCTCTATTAATCTATCTGTACTTAATTCCTTATAACATTTCTACTAAAGCCATATAACTTCATTCCAACATTTTCCTAACATTCATTAATTTTACAGTATTTCTGTAAATAGTCTTTAAATTTTTTTCCAATCTTCTTCCACCGACTCTTCTCCCTGGTCTCGGATTCTGCCAGTCATTTCCGCCAGTTCCATATAGTCCATCAACTTCATCTGCCATTCTTCCCGGGTGGGTAAATCTTGTGTCTTCCAATATTTTGCGATGAGTATCCTTGCTGCTGTTGTTGCATACATAAAGAAAGTTCTATCCTTCTTTGACACCAATTGGCCGACCATGCCCAGGAGAAAATCCTCTGGTTTCTTCAAAAAGGTATATTTAAATACCTTTTTCATTTTGTTATAAATCATCTCCCAGAATGTCTTAATCCTTGGGCATGTCCACCAAAGGTGAAAGAATGTGCCTTCAGTCTCGTTACATTTCCAACATTTATTTTTGGGCAAATGATAAATTTTTGCAAGCTTGACTGGTGTCATGTACCACCTATAAATCATTTTCATTAAGTTTTCTCTTAGGGCATTGCATGCCGTAAATTTCATACCTGTGGTCCCTAACTGTTCCCAGTCAGCCATCATTATGTTATGTCCAACATGTTGTGCCCATTTAATCATAGCTGATTTCACCGTTTCATCCTGAGTGTTCCATTTCAACAGCAAGTTATACATTTTTGACAAATTCTTAATTTTTGAATCTAACAATTCTGTTTCCAATTTTGATTTTTCCACCTGAAACCAACTTTTTGTCCAAATTGTATACCTCCATTATTTGATAATAATGGAGCCAATCTGGCACTTTATTTTTCAATTTTTCAAAGCTCTGCAATTTTATTCTGTCTCCATCTTGATCCAGAATTTCCCAATATTTCGGCCATTTGGCCTCCATATTGAGTTTTTCTGTGCCTTCGCTTCCATTGGTGACAACCATCTTGGGGTTTTCTTTTCTAACAAATCTTTATATCTTATCCAAACATTAAACAATGCTTTTCTAACAATATGATTTTTAAACGCTTTATGTACTTTTACCTTATTGTACCACAAATATGCATGCCAACATGACCAGTCCAATGAAGTTCATGTTGGAGAATCATTGCTTCAACACTCGTGATCTTTGCTTCTTCCAGTACACTGATATTAGTTCGCCTGTCTTCCCAAGTGATGTGTAAAATTTTTCGAAGACACTGTTAAGGTCTGGTGACTTTTGTTTCAGAGTATCTGAAGAAGTGTGCATGCACACAAAAGCTTATACCCAGAACAAACGTAGTTGGTCTCTAAGGTGCTACTAGACATTTTTTTATTTTATTTTTGAGGAGCAGGGTAATTAGAAAGTTGCAAACTTTCACATTTGCCTCATAGATTTGGTGTGAATCGCAGTGGAAACATGAAAATACTTACATAGCTGGAATAGTGTAATGGATTTGTTTTAGCCTGAGTGGATTGTCTAATCCAGGGACACAAAGTGCATTATGAGGAATGAGGATTCACTCTATTCACATACTGAGGGTAATACAGTCGTACCTTGGTTTTTGAACAGCATAGTTCTCAAACGTTTTGGTTCCCGAACGGCAGAAACCCGGAAGTGACTGTTCCAGTTTGCGAACTATTTTTGGAAGCCGAACATCCAATGGGGCTTCTGTAGCTGCCGATCGGGTGCAGGAGCTTCCTACGTCCCATCAGAAGCCGCGCTTTGGTTTCTGAATGTTTCTGAAGTCGAACGGACTTCCGGAATGGATTCTGTTCGACTTCTAAGGTACGACTTTACAGGAGAGTTTTTTTAATCTGACTAAGCCTTTAACAAAGTAACCAAATACCAGCTAAGGTCATTCTTTGAACTTGTATTCTCCCCTCCTCAAATTTGTAGTTTTGACTCACCTCATGCTGTTGCCATGCAGGTGTGTGAGGAACGAAGACCTCATTCTCCCCACAAAAAGGGAGGAAAAGTTGGGAGGATGAGGGTTTTTTTTGTGCCTGTATATCACCTTGCTAAAAATCTATCTGCTTGCTATATTTTACTATTTACTGTGATGTAACTGGGCACCACTTTCAGAAAAGATTGCTCATAGTATTTAGTGATGCAACATTTGTAATTAAACAGAATCCGAGTAGACATTAGTGTACACCATCTTAAACACTTCCATGTTATTTTTTTCCAGATTGACACCAGTTGTTCTACGATGACTACAGCTGTAATGACACCCATTATGAAATGCCGCATGCCTATTGAAGTAATGACGCGGGCAGACGACGGAACACTTAGGCCGATGACAATGTGGGTGGAGATGGAGATTGATGTTATGAAACAGGGAACAAACACCACTCTCCCCAACCCCACCCCTGCCCAGATAACTCAGGCTAGCATGCTTGCTCCTTCACCAGCAATGCAGCTGCCTTCACTGATGCAACCAAATTCTTTTGCTTACAATCTCCCTTCTCATCCAGCAACAGTTCCTATACTGAGACGAAGATGAGCTTGTCTCTCTTTCGAATGGGATTGTGATCCCCCACAGGAACGGGGTGTGGGGAATGGTACCTGAAATGCACACCATGGATCAACGTCTAATGGCCATTTGTCATGGATGCTGTAGTTGAGATTCCTGCATTGCAGAAGGTTGGACTTGATGGCCCTTGTGGTCCCATCCAACTCGACAATTCTTTGATTGTATGGTGTCAGGAATGCCGAGCCTCCACCATCCAGACAAACCAGAATGGATTGGATCAAAAGGTTGCTCAGCATCTCTGACACTCTCGCCTACACATCCTTGATCAATGCTTCTTTGAGCTTTCCTTCTATCTCTCTTAAGCACATCCTTTCTGTTTCCTTTCTATCACTCATTGATGGCACTCAGAACATCCTTCAGGCCTGCTTCCAGTTCCCTGAGAATTTCTTCCTTCCGCTGTGTACCTTTGCCTTGTATCAATTATAAATTCATCTGTCACTTTGTCATTTAACTCTTTTGTGGCTGAAAGGATTGTTGACCTATTTGAAGCCGCTCACCTAAGAAATGCTTTCATGATCTCCTCTTTCCACTACAATAAACACTATCTATCTGCATCATAATTATATTTTTGGTTCTGTTCATTTTTCACTTATTTTGCTCATTCCTAGGTTTCACTCCTAGGCATGGGGGGGCATGTCTATCATAGATACATTATTTCCAACAGGTCTACACTGAGTAGAACTTAGCTGGCTACAGCCCTACATCTAAAAAGAACAGCCTCCATATACAGTATAAAAAGGGTCCTAACATGTAATAATATAGATCAGAAATGTAGGGAACATAATGCCATAGTTAGTTATTTCAGCAGCAGCAAACACCACTGAAATAAGTATTAGGTAGTTATGATTTTATATGTTTGGATGTGAGGGTGATCTGGCTGCGACTTCCATTGCCCATTGATCGCCAGGGTTGATTCGGCTGATCTGGCTAGCTAGGCAAGTGTCCCCTCCCTCCCTCATCGGTCCATGCACACACCCCTGTCAGTACGCCTTTGAGCCAATGCCAACGACTGGGCTCAACAACAGGATCTGCCCCGACTGGGCTAGGTGACTGGTGTACTTCCAGAGACCTTCCACTCCTCTAAAGCAGGTCTAAGTGCACAGGACGCACAACTGTGAGTTGTGAGCACCAAACTCAGCAGAGTATAAACAACACGGAAGAAAGCTGTGAAGCATAACTTCTTTTATTTCTAATAGGTTCTGCAAGCTAAATCTGAAGCGCTACTGGCTTGAATGAGTGTTACAGCTCTCACTCAGCCATCTAATCTCTACATAGATAACACTCAGACTCCCCACAGAGTCAGGCAGGAGAGGAAGAAGCGAAGAACAGTTTCCTGCCCCTCCTTTCTGAAAACATCATATCAGGAGATTCTCACAATGGGAAGGGGTGAAAATATCCACACACACACTCACACACAAACAAACACCCCCCCAAACACCCCCCCCCGAAGCTGCATGCTCGGTGAAAGAGGATGGCCATCCCAGATAGGAATGCACTGTTCTTGGGTCAAGGGCATACAATATTTGAATAGAAATAAAGCGAAAAGAAGGGGTGCTCTCTCTGTTTCTCTCCCGCAGACCTAGAACATGGCTAGGGAAAGATTCCATTCACCCCAGAGAAAGGGGAAAATGTCAGTTCTCTATGAGTGTGTCAGATGTACATTCCAAACCTGACAGCGTGCTTCACTCCGCCAAGAATGATTGGAAGAAGGCCAGAAAGAGTTGCACATGCTGCCAGGGGACATTGTTCTATGATCAGCGCTTTTAACTGGGTGCCTAGTGAAGTACATGACACAGAGGAGTGATCATCATTTCATTTTTAGCCAGCCTCTCTCAGCGTCATTAGACCTTACAGTGCAACATCAGAGGGTCCTTAAACACGTATTTCAAAGATTTGCAACATGACTGTGAAGAGGTTCTGATGTTTGCTGTCACTCCCTGCTTTGCTCAGCAGCTGAGGCACCACACACAGCTGAGGAGAGGGAGTCAGAAGTGTAGTAAATAAGGATGCTGAGACTGTCCTCTGTAAGTAAGGGCAGCATTTTAGAGCATTGTGGCTGGATCCTGGCAGGAAGAACTTTTCTGGGTGGACTGGGGCATTGTGAAGCTATACTGGCAAAAACCCCAGGATGGTTTAGAGATAAGTAAGGGGATAAGAGGGAAAGTGGAAGAGGAGGAGGAAAAAGAGTCAACCCACAAAAGGAATCTTTGTTGTGTCAGCAATGACAATGTGGATGGGAACACTACGGCACGGGGACTATCACTACAGGAGCTAAAAACCAAGATACAGGGATTAGAGGAAGAAAAACATAGAGGGTTCAGGCAGAAGGGTTGGAATTGAGGAAAGGCCAGGAAAAATTAAAGAGGAGGTGGCGGAGGCTAATGTCTCCCAGATGTCAGCCTGGGATGCCATTGCGGTTTTGGAAATGTGTCAGAAGGAAAAGATTTTCTGTCTTAAATGAATTTCAGAAGAACCAGAGGAAGATATAAGGTCCAAATTGATTAAGGAGTTGATTAATAAGATAGAGGTACAGGAAGAACTGATGGAAAACTCGATTGATTAAATCTTCTGAATTAAATCGAGCTTTGCAAAGGTGAAAAAAAAGTTACCAGGAGACTGTCTGGTAATTTTTAATTTACGCAAAATCAGAGACCAAATAATACAAAAGGAGTATTAGAATAGATTACAGATAGGGGAGAAAAATAAAATTATTCTAAAAGAAATTCCCGTCCAACTTCTAAAAAAACCAAGCTAATTCCATTTTTTTGACAGATGCTCTGAGAAATAAGCAAATTCCATATAGATGGGAATTCCTGTAGGGAGTCTCTTTTACATATAAAAAGAAGAAACAACAATGCAGGGATATATCTGAAGCGCAGAAATTTCAGATGAAAAATTTAATATAAGAATTCGAAGAAGGGATGCTCGTGACAGGAGCAGAAAGGGGGATAGAGGAATTACATGAGGATAGCACTGATAAACAGGAAGAAGAGGAAGAGTAACTAAGACATAATTAAAGCAGGAATAAAAATAATAATTATTTTTCTTTAAATTAAACCAGAATGACAGATTAAAAATACTAACTTGGAATGAAAATGGCTTAAATAGAAAAATACAAGGAACATTACAGATGAGAATACTTAATGTTTTTGAAAATAAACCTCCAGAAACCTTGAGATTTTTATTTTTAAAAATTGGGCATTTTAAAATCTGAAAACAATGGATGTGACTCATATTTGCATTCATTTGTATAATCAAATAATATAAGGGTTGAGAAAAGGTGGCATTAGTAATTAAGGATATGTGCTTCCAACAAAGGCATCCATCCAGGGACTATAATAATCTATAATGAAATATAAACTCTTGAATGAGATTACACTCTTCCCCCCGTAGGATTAATTATTGAAAGAAAAACTTTGTGAGATTTCTAGGCATTGGGGCAGAATCCTGACGTTTGCTGTCACTCCCTGCTTTGCTCAGCAGCTGAGACACCACACACAGCTGAGGAGAGGGGGCCAGAAGTGTGGTAAATAAGGGTGCTAAGACTGTCCTCTGTAAGTAAGGGCAGCATTTTAGAGCATTCTGGCTAGATCCCAGCAAGAAGACCTTTTCTGGGGGGACTGGTGTATCGTGAAGGTATACAGGCAAAAAACCCAGGATGGTTTAGAGATAAGTAGGGGGACATTTGTGAGGGAAAGTGGAAGAGGAGGAGGAAAAAGAGTCAACCCACAAAAGGAATCTGAGTTGTGTCAGCAATGACAATTTGGAAGGGAAAGAGGAAGAGTTGTTAGACAGGTTGAGGATTGCCATTGTGTGGACAGGCGGAGTCCCTCAAAACCCTGGGCAGCCCCCGTGTGGAATAACGACTCAAGACAATGTGCTATGGGATTAAAATTGGCCACAACTTTATTATGTTTCAGATCTGGGTAGACCTTGGCTCAGGCATTCGGTGTTTATCCCTCCCGGTTCGCAGCCGGGGATCTGCGGAACATCAGGGTTATCCAGAGTGTGGGGGGAGATGGGCTGGCTCTGGAGAACATATGTTCAAGAAGTTATGCCACCGCCGCAGGGGAGAGCAATGACGCCCTCTCGGTGTACGGCCAAAGCCTCCCCTCAAACAACCCCTTTGACGGGGAACCCTGGTATCGCCTTCGCAAAGAGAAGGGGGGCGTGAGTCACCGCTACACCCCCACCCCCATTTAGGGAAGATAGACTAAAGGATTCTGCCCAATGCCTTTATATTAACAGTTACCACGGTTAGAGAATATGGTGGATTTGAGTTTATTACTGCATTTCTGAATGTGTCTCTTTATTCAGCATATTGGGTCACAGTGCAAAAAAGAATATGAGCGTTGCATCCATCCTGTTTTGAATGTAATCCATTCATTAGCGTGCCTGCAATCTGAAGCCTGCAGAACTGCCATGGAATCTGTTCCAAGAAGCTCCCTTTCATTCCGAACCAAGTTACATGTACGTTTTACATTCTACCTCATTGTGGGAGGCTCTGTGTTATTTTTAATTAGTTTGTAGCATTATTGTTCTTCTCATGACAGTTTCAGAGCCAAAATCATTGCTGAATCATGGCAAACATTGCAGAGGAACGCCTGGTATCTGCCAGCTCAGTGCTATCCAATTCCATGTCTGCGCAATGTGCATATGTATTCAGTGTTTCTTCTTGTTGTTGTTGGGGAGAGATGGGGACTACCACTAGCTCTTGAGGGAGCTGGAAGAAATGGAGATGATCAGAGAAGCCTCCTTCTTTTCCTTTTTTCTCAGACTTTCAAGATAAAAAACCCCAACTGCCTATATTAACAAAAACATTGAAAACATAGGGGAAGGGACAAGTATACCATCTTCTTTGTAGCTGTTACTGTGTGTGTGTAATTATGATCTCTTAGAAATAATTTATATGGAAAGCATAAATCAGGCTAAACATTAGCAGATATCAAGAGAGGCATATATCAAGTAAACTACAAGGAACATTGTAGCTGAGAATACTTATTGTTTTTGGAAATGAAACCCCAGAAACATTGAGATTTTGATTAAAAAACTGGGTGTTTTAAAATCTGAAAAGAATGGATGTCACCAGTGTTTTTCCCCTCAAAACAATGTCAAGGGCTACTCTGGTTTTCCTACTCATATTGAAATACTGCCCCTCAATGAGGCCAAACGTAGACCAAACGTAGACCAAACGTAGAAATTGTTTAGGGGTATGCGTCCCCCTGCGTACTCCCAGAAAAAAGGCACTGGGTGTGACCCATATTTGCGTCCTTTTGTGTAATCAAATAACATAAGGGTTGAGACATAGTGCCATTAGTAATTAAGGATATGTGCTTCCAACAAAGGCATCCAACCAGGGACTATAATAATCTATAATGAAATATAAACTCTTGAATGTGATTACACTCTTCCCCCGTGGGGTTAATCATTGAAAGAAAAATGTTTGTGAGATTTCTAGGCATTTGCGCCAAGTGCCCATTAGGAAAGCGCTATGCTGACTCAAGGCGTGGAAGCCAAAAGCAAACGGTATAAATGCTCCAGACATTTCTGTATTCCTCACCAGAGCCTTCCAGCTTCGCTTGACTTCGGATGCTCAGCCTTTCCTGCTGTTGGTAAGTTGTCTTTAAATCAAAGCTTTCATAGGAAAAGGGCACAGAGGCATTTTGTGACTCTGGAGGAGATTCGCTAGGGATTGTGTTTTGAAAACTTAAGGAACAGCTAAGGCTAAGGCTAAAATAGCTAAGGCTATTTTTTGTCATTTGCATACTATCCCTTGCTTTTTCCTGAAGGACTAATTGCAGTCATTAACAGTCATCAATATGTAGCCTTATTGGAGTTCACCAATTGGGTCTGCGTTGCTCCTGGACAGGAGGAAGGAAGTCAAATGACACCGAGGGTTGGTTCAGAGAAAGAGTTCTTTATTTCTGCTCTCCGGAACAGCAGAAAGGCACTTGCGTGGTCAGTCCACATTAAATCCAAAGAAATGAGAAATTTCATGCAGTATATATATCCTCCAGGCACAATCTCCCTCCTTCCCCAGGAATCCAACCATGTCAGCCTATACATGCAGGTTGACATCACATATGTTCCTGCACCGGTATTCTTAACCATAAAAGGGTATTCCTTCCTGTACTTCTGACCATAAAAGGGTATTCCTTCCTGTACTTCTGACCATAAAAGGGTATTCCTGTTCCTACTCTTATCTTGGAGCAAGAGGTCACCAACTCCAAGAACACACTCTGGCACTGTTCCCGGACTAGGTCTGTGCGTCAGAGAGTGGTAAGATAAGACCCAGACATGTCATCCCTACTCCACTGGAACAACCAAGGTCATCCTTGCTGTCACAAACTGATAAGGGAGAGGGTTCTGAGCACTTGTTTATACAGCCGGGTTTTTCTTTATACATTGACTCAGAGCTCAATTAAATGCATTTTAGCTAAGGAAAAATAGGGATTTTGGTGCCCATTTCAAACTGCCTGCACAGTCAATTTTTGGGTTTGGGAAACCCATTCCTTCAAATACGTTTACCATACAGTCATCAAAGGTTTACCATACCATCACCCATCTCCTACTACCTTCCTGAGAAATGTCCCCCCTTGCATATCTTCTTTCTTCTTTGGTAATCACTCATAGCCAAGTAAGATTCTCTTCTATAAACATGGTTTTAACAATGAGTCTGTAAGTGATTGTGGAGGCCAATTCTGGATCCACATGTCCTTATACAGTGGGGACATTGGTTTCTGGGCAGGATTTGATCATGGTGTGGATTTGCCAAGGGGGCCTTCCTCTTAACACTTTTCTCCCTTGAGTCCTGAGTTTGAGTGTCTTCAGAGCCCATGACACCTTTGGTAAAGGGTGTTCTCCAACTGGAGCGCTCGCAGGCCAGCTGTCAGTGTTTATACTACATTTTTTAAGATTTGCCTTGAGACAGTCTTTAAACCTCTTTTGTTGACCACCAGCGTTACACTTTCCATTTTTATGCTCGGAATAGAGTAGTTGCTTTGGAAGACGATCATCAGGCATCCACATAACATGAATAGTCCAATGAAGGTGATGTTGGAGAATCATTGCTTCAACACTCGTGATCTTTGCTTTTTTCAGTACAGTGATATTAGTTCGCCTGTCTTCCCAAGTGATGTGTAAAATTTTTCGAAGACACTTTTAAGGTCTGGTGACTTCTGTTTCAGAGTATCTGAAGAAGTGTGCATGCACACAAAAGCTTATACCCAGAACAAACGTAGTTGGTCTCTCAGGTGCTACTAGACATTTTTTTTTTCTTCGAGGAACAGGGTAATTAGAAAGTTGCAAGCTTTCACATTTGCCTCATAGATTTGGTGTGAATCGCAGTGGAAACATGAAAATACTTACATAGCTGGAATAGTGTAATGGATTTGTTTTAGCCTGAGTGGATTGTCTAATCCAGGGACACAAAGTGCATTATGAGGAATGAGGATTCACTCTATTCACATACTGCGGGTACTACAGTCGTACCTTGGTTTTTGAACAGCATAGTTCTCAAACGTTTTGGTTCCCGAATGGCAGAAACCCGGAAGTGACTGTTTGCGAACAATTTTTGGAAGCCGAACATCCAATGTGGCTTCTGTGGCTGCCGATCGGCTGCAGGAGCTTCCTACGTCCCATCAGAAGCCGCGCTTTGGTTTCTGAACGCTTATGAAGTTGAACGGACTTCCGGAATGGATTCTGTTCGACTTCTGAGGTACGACTGTATAGGAGAGTTTTTTTTATCTGACTAAGCCTTTAACAAAGTAACCAAGGACCACCTAAGGTCACTCTTTGAACTTGTATACCCCCCTCCTCAAATTTGTAGTTTTGACTCGCCCAATGCTGTTGCCATGCAGGTGTGTGAGGAACGAAGACCTCATTCTCCCCACAAAAAGGAAGGAAAAGTTGGGAGGATAAGGGGTTTTTTGGTTATTTTGTGTCTGTATATCGCCTTGCTAAAAATCTATCTGCTTGGTATATTTTACTATTTCCTGTGATGTAACTGGACACCACTTTCAGAAAAGATTGCTCATAGTATTTATTGATGCAAAATTTGTAATTAAACAGAATCCGAGTAGACATTAGTGTACACCATCTTAAAACTTTCATGTTATTTTTTCCAGATTGACACCAGTTGTTCTACGATGACTACAGCTGTAATGACACCCATTATGAAATGCCGCATGCCTATTGAAGTAATGACGCGGGCAGACGACGGAACACTTAGGCCGATGACAATGTGGGTGGAGATGGAGATTGATGTTATGAAACAGGGAACAAACACCACTCTCCCCAACCCCAGCCCTGCCCAGATAACTCAGGCTAGCATGCTTGCTCCTTCACCAGCAATGCAGCTGCCTTCACTGATGCAACCAAATTCTTTTGCTTACAATCTCCCTTCTCATCCAGCAACAGTTCCTATACTGAGACGAAGATGAGCTTGTCTCTCTTTTGAATGGGATTGTTATCCCCCACAGGAATGGGGTGTGGGGAATGGTACCTGAAATGCACACCATGGATCAACGTCTAATGGCCATTTGTCATGGATGCTGTAGTTGAGATTCCTGCATTGCAGAGGGTTGGACTTGATGGCCCTTGTGGTCCCATCCAACTCTACAATTCTTTGATTGTATGGTGCCAGGAATGCTGAGCCTCCACCATCCAGACAAACCAGAATGGATTGGATCAAAAAGTTGCTCAGCATCTCTGACACTCTCGCCTACACATCCCTGATCAATGCTTCTTTGAGCTTTCCTTCTATCTCTCTTAAGCACATCCTTTCTGTTTCCTTTCTATCACTCATTGATGGCACTCTGAATATGCTTCAGGCCTGCAAGAGTTCTGATGCTTCCAGTTCCCTGAGAATTTCTTCCTTCCCCTGTGTACCTTTGCCTTGTATCAATTATAAATTCATCTGTCACTTTGTCATTTAACTCTTTTGTGGCTGAAAGGATTGTCGACCTATTTGAAGATGCTCACCTAAGAAATGCTTTCATGATCTCCTCTTTCCACTACAATAAACGCTATCTATCTGCATCATAATTATATTTTTGGTTCTGTTCATTTTTCATTTCATTTACTCATCCCTAGGTTTCACTCCTAGGCATGGGGGGGGGGACATGTCTAACTTAGATACATTATTTTCAATAGGTCTACACTGAGTAGAACTTAGCTGGCTACAGCCCTACATCTAAAAAGAACAGCCCCCATATATATTATAAAAAAGGGTCCTCACATGTACTAATATAAATCAGAAATGTAATGAACATAATGCCATAGTTAGTTATTTCAGCTGCAGCAAACACCACTGCAATAAGTATTAGGTCGTTATGATTTTATATGTTTGGATGTGAGGGCGATCTGGCTGCAACATCCATTGTCCCATTGATCGCCAGGGTTGATTTGGCTGATCTGGCTAGTTAGGCAAGTGTCTCCTTCCTCCCTCATCGGTCCATGCACACCCCCCTGTCAGTACGCCTTTGAGCCGATGCCAAGGACTGGGCTCAACAACAGGATCTGCCCCAACTGGGCTAGGTGACTGGAGTACTTCCAGAGAACTTCCACTCCTCTAAAGCAGGTCTAAGTGCACAGGACACACAATTGTGAGTTGTGAGCACCACACTCAGCAGAGTATAAACAACACGGAAGAAAGCTGTGAAGCATAACTTCTTTTATTTCTAATAAGTTCTGCAAGCTAAATCTGAAGCGCTACTGGCTTGAATGAGTGTTACAGCTCTCACTCAGCCATCTAATCTCTACATAGATAACACTCAGACTCCCCACAGAGTCAGGCAGGAGAGGAAGAAGCGAAGAACAGTTTCCTCCCCCTCCTTTCTGAAAACATCATATCAGGAGATTCTCACAATGGGAGGGGGTGAAAATATCCACACACACACTCACACACAAACACACACACCCCGAAGCTCCATGCTCGGTGAAAGAGGATGGCCATCCCAGATAGGAGTGCACTGTTCTTGGGTCAAGGGTATCAAGGGGAAAGAAGGGATGCTCTCTCTGTTTCTCTCCCTCTCCTGCAGACCTAGAACATGGCTAGGGAAAGATTCCATTCACCCCAGAGAAAGGGGAAAATGTCAGTTCTCTATGCGTGTGTCAGATGTACATTCCAAACCTGACAGTGTGCTTCATTCAGCCAGGAATGATTGGAAGAAGCCCAGAGAGAGTTGCACATTCTGCCTGGGGATATTGCTCTATGATCAGCGCTTTTAACTGGGTGCCTTGTGAAGTACATGACAAAGAGGAGTGATTAGCATTTCACATTTAGCCAGCCTCTCTCAGCGCCATCAGACCTTACAGTGCAACATCAGAGGGTCCTTAAACACGTATTTCAAAGATTTGCAACATGACTGTGAAGAGGTTCTGACGTTTGCTGTCACTCCCTGCTTTGCTCAGCAGCTGAGACACCACACACAGCTGAGGAGAGGGATCCAGAAGTGTGGTAAATAAGGATGCTGAGACTGTCCTCTGTAAGTAAGGGCAGCATTTTAGAGCATTCTGGCTGGATTCTGGCAAGAAGAACTTTTCTGGGGGGACTGGAGCATCGTATAGGAATACAGGCAAAAAACGCAGGATGGTTTAGAGATAAGTAGGGGGACATTTCTGAGGGAAAGTGGAAGAGGAGGAGGAAAAAGAGTCAACCCACAAAAGGAATCTGAGTTGTGTCAGCAATGACAATGTGGATGGGAACACCACGGTACGGGGACTATCAGTACCGGAGCTAATGAGGGCACAATAATCCCTGCAAATTCATGGGAAGAGCACTATAAAGTGCTGTTTAGGGAACATCGTCCTTCTGCGCCGCTTAACATCCCCTTAGATAATGATACACCATGGCCCCCAACATCTGAAACTGAAATCACTTCGCTAATTCTACAAATGAAATCTGGCAAAGCCCCAGGAAGTGATTTCATTGTCGCTGAACTTCTGAAAGCGCAAATAAACTGGTGGGCCCCGGTCCTTGCTAATCTATTTTCATATATAGATAAGACAACTGAAATCCCTAAAGATTGGGGACTAGCTATAATTGTTCCCATATTTAAAAAGGGCAACCCCTCTGATCCATCTAATTATAGACCAATTAGTCTCCTGAATGTGATCTGTAAACTTTATACAAAACATCTATGCCTAAAATTATGGGAATGGTTAGATCATAATAACTTGCTAGAAATTGAACAAGCAGGGTTTACATCCGGACGTTCCACCATTGATCACTGCTTAGTGTTAGATTACTTTGTCTATAAGTATGCGAAATATTGGAAAAAGTCATTATATGCGGCCTTTGTGGACTTAAACGCAGCATTTGATTCTGTATCCAGGAGCAGGCTCTGGGCCAAATTGGCCGATATGGGTATTAACAGAAGGTTATTACTTCTGATGATTAAGCTTCATGAGAACAATACCCTCCAGATAAGACTTGCACAGGACGGCAGACTCTCTAGAGAAATCCTAGTCCAAAGAGGAGTTAGACAAGGATGCCTATTAGCCCCATTCCTATTTAATATCTATGTTAACTCCCTGGTTACATGCTGCCGTGAAATTGAAACCCACCCCCCTGTGTTCTCTAATGGCAGAAAAGTACCAATTTTAATGTATGCGGATGACGCTGTTCTTCTCTCTCAAACCAAAGTGGGTCTGAAACGTGCCTTAGGAAAGTTTAGTGACCAATGTAACACTGAACTGTTAACAATTAACTTTGCCAAAACCAAAATTGTACATTTTAACCGCTCCTTTAGGAAGGATAATTGGAGCGTAAAGGGAAACGCCATTGAACAGACTAAGACCTTCCAATACTTAGGCATTACTTTCTCTTATAATGCCAAATTCTCAACACACTTGACCACATCAGCTATATCAGCAGAAAGAAGTGCAAATGCTATCCTTAGATTATTCAGAAGGAAAGGAGCTGGCTTCCTCCCGATGGCCCTAACAGTCTTTCAGGCAAAATCTTTAGCCCAACTTCTATATGGCTCTCAAATTAGCCCCTCTGCCAACCTTAAGACCCTTGAAACAGTACAATCTAAATTCTTAAGATCATTATTTGCTACTCCTAAGTGTACACCTAATGCAGTCTTAAGGCAAGAGGCAGGACTGCCCAGAGTGGAATTAAAAGTCTGGGAACAAGCAATATCCCTCTGGCTGAAAATCCATTACAATCCTAAGGGTCTATTACCTTGCTTCCTGGCCGCAGTTCCCTATCCTCCTTGGCTTATGCAAATAACTAACAAGATCAAACAAATTGGCCTAAACCCTGAAAATATTTTTATTGGAACTCTGAACAAGGCAAAAGCTACTATCACTCGGAGACTTTATGATATCGAATTACAACAAGAAGGCGCCCTACTCCCAGAGACGTATAGATGTTTAAAAGCTTGGCCTAATTTTGCAGCTGCCCCTTACTTAACTAACATCACTAACGAAACCTATAGATGGGCTTTCTCTAGAGCCCGCTTTGAGACAATGCCCTCAGCAGTGCTGTACGGCAAATTCACGCGAGTTCCAATGCATGCGCGTCTCTGCCCTTGTATGTCTAATAAGGTAGAATCTGTCACACACATTCTTCTATCTTGCGAATTCTATAGTGAAGAACGAGTTCAACTTATTTTACCGCTTCTATCAAAATTTATACCCCTTCAATATTATTTGGAATCCTCCCCTGAAATTCTTCGAAAATACCTCCTGGAAGATTCCTCAAGCTCAGTATCATATGAGGTGGCTAAATTTTGCACTTTAGTAATTAAGAAGCGTAAATCTCTTCTGTTGAATGGCACACTGTGAAGTTCTCTTGTGTAACCTTTTTTCTTTTCTGAAGTTGTTGCTGATTTCTTGTTGTCTGATCTTATGGTGTTTAGTGTCACTGGCTTTGGCCGCAATAAACTTGAACTTGAACTTGAAGTACCGGAGCTAAAAACCAAGACACAGGGATTAGAGGAAGAAAAACAAAGAGGGTTTAGGCAGAAGGGTTGGAATTGAAAAATTAAAGCGGAGGTGGCGGAGGCTAGTGTCCCCCAGGAAGCAGTCTGGGATTCAACTGCGGTTTTGGAAATGTGTCAGAAGGAAATGATTCTCTGTCTTAGATGAATTTCAGAAGAACCAGAGGAAGATATAAGGTCCAAATTGATTAAGGAGTTGTTTAATTAGATAGAGGTACAGGAAGAACTGATGGAAAACTCGAGTGATTCAAACTTCTGAATTAAATCAAGCTTTGCAAAGGTGAAAAAAAGTTACCAGGATAAGAAGAAAAAGAAGAAGAGTTTGGGTTTGATATCCCATCTTTCACTCCTTTTAAGGAGTCTCAAAGTGGCTAACATTCTCCTTTCCCTTCTTCCCCCACAGCAAACACACTGTGAGGTGAGTGGGGCTGAGAGACTTCAGAGAAGTGTGACTAGCCCAAGGTCACCCAGCAGCTGTATGTGGAGGAGCGGAGACGTGAACCCAGTTCCCCAGATTATGAGACTACCACTCTTAACCACCACACCACACCACAGGAGACTGTGTGGTAATTTTAAATTTATGCCAAATCAGAGACCAAATCATACAAACGAACTATCACAATAGATTACAGATAGGAGAGAAAAATAAAATTATTCTAAAAGAAATTCCTGTCCAACGTCTAAAAAAACCAAGCTAATTCCAATTTTTTGACAGATGCTCTGAGAAATAAGCAAATTCCATATAGATAGGAATTCCTGAAGGGAGTCTCTTTTACATATAAAAACAAGAAACAACAATGTAGGGATATATCTGAAGCGCAAAAATTTCAGATGAAAAATTTAATATAAGAATTAGGAGAAGGGATGCTCGTGACAGGAGCAGAAAGGGGGATAGAGGAATTACCTGAGGATAGCACTGATAAATAGGAAGAAGAGGAAGAGTAACAAACACATAATTACAGCAGGAATAAAAATAATAATTATTTTTCCTTAAATTAAACCAGAATGGCAGATTAAAAATACTAATTTGGAATGAAAATGGCTTAAATAGAAAAATACAATGCCATTACCTAACAATCCCTCCCCAAGAAGAATCGTTGCACAATTGACTACATGCGGGATGATTAAGAACGGTGTGGAAATGAATTACTAACCAAAGGCTTGGCTTATGGAGATCTGGAAAAGAATGAAAGGCTTTTGGAATGACGCAGTTATAAAAAGAGAGTTGCCATGTTGGCAGGCTTTGTTGCAGGATTGATGATCAAGGGGGAGGAAGCCATGGCTTTGTTATTATATTGGACTCCTGGCAGAACCCCCTGAGAAGATCGAGAAGGGAGTGACAGGCCTGCAAAGATTAATGAGCAGACGGTAAGATTGTTTTTTCTATGGAAGTGATGAAATGCATCTGCCGTCTGAATATGACTCTTGGATGAATGGAAAAACCCACACAGGATTATAAAAATGCTTGTTTTCAACTCGCTTGTGGAGACTATCAGAGGTCACAAAGAGAAAGGAAAAATATATGAAAACAACAAGATTTGATGAGGAAAACATCAAAGAGAGGATTGGACAGAATTGTGAACATTATTTGCACAGAACTGTCAACATCAAAGCAGCAGCAATAAGATGATCGGATCCCTTTCGGAGCTCGAAATATGGGTACCCCCAACAAAAATTTAAAATTTGGCTCTGTAATTTGGAATGAATGTGATTTGATTGGTTTGTTAATAAAAAATATTTTAAAAAAATAAATAAATAGAAAAATACAAGGAACATTGCAGATGAGAATACTTATTGTTTTTTCAAAATAAAACCCCAGAAACCTTGAGATTTTGATTTTTAAAAATTGGGCATTTTGAAATCTGAAAACAATGTATGTGATCCATATTTGCATTCATGTGTATAATCAGATAACATAAGGGTTGAGACAAGGTAATTAGTAATTAAGGATATGTGCTTCCAACAAAGGCATCCAACCAGGGACTACAATAATCTATAGTGAAATATAAACTCTTGAATGAGATTACACTTTCCCCCCATGGGGTTA